AAACAACATATACAACTCAAGTTGACAATATCGATATATACAACATTGAATAGCTACTCACCTGAATTATCACTGAGGTGGTGGTATTTGGAACAACTGTCAAAACACAAATACTCTGTAGCATCCTTTTCAATATCGTTTCATACTCCCTTTCAACTTTTCCTATCAATATTCAAAGCAAAAGTTATTCAGATCTAAAAACCAAGAATCACCTATACGACATACTCAAGCAACAAAACAAGCCTCCTTCTGAAAACTAAACGCATTTACGATTACCAATCTATCTGGTTTAAGGCTTCCATATGACTTCAAAACAAGCCTTCTCAGCATTTTCGTTTGTTTTCGTTCCTGCTTTAAGTCCGTATTGTGCAACTAGAACTTTTGTATCCCCTGAAAATATAAACGAGAGAGTTCAATGAATCCCATTCAAAAAGGATAAAAAAACTTTGTACCCATAATAGATATTGAGAAAGCTGAAAAGTACCTTCTGACCAACTAGCAGAGCCATGAGGACGATGAAGGATATTACGGGAACAAGCAAGAGGTCTCAGCTGACAAGTAAGTCTTTTTCTCGGGTTATATTTCAAGTCAAAAAATAGATCTAATCTTAAAAATTGTAACTACATAAGATAGATTTAGTTTTATTAACTACATAATAACAAATAAAAAATAAACATAAATTAGCAAGAACAATCAATAATTTTTTCTTCACAATTTTCAAAACAAACTCACGCGTAGCGTGGGTATTCATCTAGTCAATACAATAAAACTACTAAAAGTCTCTCCAGCAGTGACACATCAGCTTTTTAAGCTATTGTGGGATTGACACATCATTAAAAATGATACCCAATCAAAACATAACAATTAATACAACTCAGCTCTCCAACATGCCACATCATCTTTCCAGTTTGCCACATCAGCTATTTATTAAAAAAAATACATCATTTAAAAAAAAACAACCAATCAAATTAAAACATATAATACACATACTTATTTTTATTTTATTTTTAATAATGATACATGGATTTCTAATTTGTTAAAAAAAACAAATTCAAATTATAAATAAAATGAATAAACATCAGCTTATGTTGACACATAAATAATAAAAAATATTCTTATTATTTAATGGAATTGATCAAATATCTAAATATAAACTTTATATCTATATTTATTTTTACATAACATATTTATATTAAAGACGCTTATAATAAAAAAAATTACTATATAACTCAACAGTCAACATGTTCCGATTCAGTCCACCAAAATTTTGATTTTGTACTACTAGACTTTGGTTAAATAACTATATTCTTAATTAAGCCACTAATCACAAGATGTATACAATCACTTTTATTATTTTTTGTCTTACTAGAAGCTGATATTTCATTTTAAAAGTACAATCAATCAAATTAAAATAAATAATACACATTAGCTTTTATTAACATGGACAAAAATTATTAAAAAAAACTTATAAAATATCTTATTTGGAAGAAAAGTTCATCATATTCCTAATTGTAATGATTGTTAAATCACTAGATCATGCAAATATATAAATTTAAATAAGTTTTTCTATTCGTTTTTTTGGTTTGTAAATTATAGTGACTCTATAAACAAAATATTGATATTAGTTGAGTATATCAAAATAAAGAGCAATAAAAAAAGTAACAGTGAAAAATATTTGTATTTTTATCTACGTTTTGACGGTATAATTGTGTTATAAAATAATAGTAAATAGTATTTCCTTGATTTGTTGCTAACATCGAGATTGTAGGTTTTTGGCTATCAACCCTCAGTTACGAAAATGAGTAAAAAATTTACAAAATTCTATAACATGATTGGAATAATAATTTTATATTAAAATTATGGTATAAAATAAATTATAAGTTATCATTTTAACAAATCATTGTGATTTAAAGGTTAATAGAATAATTTTAAAATTTGAAAGTCTATGTTAAATATTTTAAGTGTGATTCAAATTATGGTTGTGCACCATGTATATCTTTAATGAAAAGAAAGTAAGGTTCTTGAAATATAATAGTCACTGACTATACGGTATATTTACTTTATAAAAGTAATATATAACATATATTTATTAATGTATGCATATATAATAAAATAAAAACTACAAAAATTTGAGTAAAAGTAAAATACCCAATCCTAGAATCATTTCAAACTTCTACCAATCATACTTATAGTTATATTGAAATAAAGCTAATTTACAAAAAATATCCCGCGGCAGAGCGCAGGTTCTTTTTCTAGTAGGTTTAAAAAGTCGTAAACAACTAAGCGAAAAAGGAAAAACTAGAAAACCATAACAAGCAAAAAAAAAAATCAATTTATAAAAAACAAAGAGTAAACATGAAAAAAGAGTAGGGAATAAGATATAGAAACAAGTAAATATACAAAAACTTGAGGTCGTGGAGAAAATAAATGTGAATACAACTGGAAATAATATATTAAGAAAGTTTAAATTTTTTGCAAACATCAAAACTTGGATGAAACTTAATATGAAGAACAAGTAAATATTTGAAAAATAATAGATGGAAGAGATTATTAGGATCACTAAAATGAATAAGAAAATAAAATATATAAAAGAAAACGCAAGAAAAATTGATAATCGAATTGAAAATCTAAATATATTATATGTAAAAGTGACCTATAATTTTGGTTAAAATATAAATATATATTTATTTACAACATAAAATGAAAAAAAAAATCTGCAAGTATTATGGGTTCTCTCCTAATTACTATGTAAAAGCTTGTGTAAAACATAATTAAACTATTCAAATTAAACGACTTAAATTATATAATCTAAACATGTCTGCCATGTAAGAGATAATATATATACTAAAAGCTAATGTATATTTTTTTTGTTACCTCAGGGTAAATCCCTAGGCCTATGCAGGGGTCCAAGACTAATCCCTGGGGAGAGGGTATTCCACGGATAGAGTCCCCCCCAGGTTTTCAAATGGGCCGTAAACAATAGGCCCATACCCATGTGGCCAAAGGGATAAAGCTAAGCAATTCTGCGTCTGGGGAGAATCGATCCCTCGCCTAGACCAACAGGGCGACTCTTCCACCAGACTATAACCACTAGCCCACCACCTTTGGTTATTTTTTTTGTCAATTCAAAGCTTAGATTAATCATTAATAACAATATCACGGTTAATGACACTTACACGTAAACCTAAACAAATAAGGAAAATAAACTAATTCGTACACGTTAACCTTAACCGATGCAGCATAGGTGTTTGATAATCTCTTTTTTTCCTTTTGTTTAAATAGAGGACGTTGAGATGTTTAAAATTGTTATAATTTATAACCAAGTTGTCTCTATCTGACATATAGTAATAGGTACATTGACCTAAAAGTCTCTAGGGCTAATGGTTAACTAGAGGTACTAATATGCTGATAATTGTGTTCTATGAAATTAGAAGTGAGTAATGTACATGTTGGTAATATTATATAGATATATAAAAAAAACAAAACATTAAACATCACACTACATTTTTTTGGTAAATCACACAAATTTGATACATACATTTTATAGTAATTGTTAGATATGCCCTCTTTTAAAAACCCCATTTCAAAATTGTCCCATATTTGGCCATTTTTATTTTTGCTCTTTTTTAATTTTTAGTGACCGTTTTAATCATATTTGAAAAATATTTAACCATCAACAAAATGAAAAAGTGAATTTTCCCGACAAAATTTTTTCTGCCAAAATTTATTTTTGGGAGGAAAAATGATCTCGTAATTTTTGGCAGGAGACGTGATCCCATAATTTTTTGTGGGAAATGGATCTAAAAGGGTTTTAAAATGATTTACATGAGTTTTAGAGGGTTTTCAAAAGGAGTTACAAGGGTTTTTGAAAAGAATTACAAGTGTTTGAAAAGATTTTACAAGTGTTTTAAAAAGATTTTATAAGAGTTTTTGAAGGATTTACAAGGGTTTTAAAAAGTTTTAAAAGGATTTGCAAAAGATTTTAAAAGTTTTTTTAAGGGATTTATAAGGGTTTTAAAAAAATTTACAAGGGTTTTTAGAAGATTTACAAGGAGTTTTGAAGGAATTGTGGGGACTTTTGTTGGAAAAATTTAGCGGAAAATTTTTTGGTGGGAAAAATTTAATTTCTCATTATCTGCTCTCACTAAAAGAATGATAATTTAGTCATTTTGTACATAGAAAGAGTATTTTTGAAAATAGACAATAAAAAGATGTATTTTTCAAAGGGTATAGAAAGAGAAAGAGACATTTTTGCAAATGTCCTAAATTTAAGAAAATTCAACTTAAAATAAGAATTAAACAATTCAAATTCAAAATTCTCTATCACCATTTCCATTTTCATCAAACAAAATTGTTTTAAAATCTCTATCATTAAAAAAAATCATCAAACTCAAATCTCCCTAACATACTGTGTTTGAGGAGTCACTAAACCATGTTTGAAACACCTAATAAGATTAGCGTCTTAACTTTGTATTTTCTTTGATCGAGTAAAACATAAAATCTGAGCAAAGCATCATGGAAGAAAAAAAGAAGCTATAAGAGAAAGTAATGCTGATTTTGCATGCAACAAAGATCTTAAAGTTTCATGGAATTAATAATAGTCAAGAATAAATATCGCATCAGTTTGAATTTGATTTTTTAAAAAATGAAAATAACGGATTTAATAATTCGTTAGCAAGTAAGTAAGGCTTTTCAAAAAGAAAAAAAAACTTCGTTTCTATATATTTATCGTTTTTTATTGTTGGTGTTAATTTTACTCAATACTTGTATCGAGTTTTATGTTTTACATATGATCTCTTTGTAAACTTTTGTTTCAAATTAAATTTAAAAAGAAAAATAAAAACAAAAAAGTCCGATTTTACTATCCAAAATCAAAGCCCATACAGCCCAAAACTCACTCATTCGTAAGCCCAATTATAGAATCAAAAAACAAAGCCCATAAAGCCCAAAACTCACTCATTCGTGTCTCCTTCTCTCTCACAAATGCTTCAGGAGTTCACAACAAGATCGAGAAATACACACACACACGAAGAAGAAGAAGAAGAAGAAGACGATACAGATCCACAACGCCATGGGTTTAGGCTTCTTAGCTTCTCGAACAATTCGACCAGCTTCTCGTCTTCTTCAATCACACAACTCCAATTTCTTCCTCCGCACCATCGTCTCCAAACCAGAGCTCCAATCTCCTGAATCCGCTGCTGTCTCTGAGCCTGAGCCACCGACACAGATTCTCCCTCCTAGAAACCCTGTAGGTGGAGCACGCGTCCATTTCTCGAATCCTGAAGATGCGATCGAGGTTTTCGTTGATGGTTACGCGGTCAAAGTCCCTAAAGGATTCACTGTTCTTCAGGCTTGTGAGGTCGCTGGAGTTGATATTCCAAGGTTTTGTTATCATTCTCGTTTGTCTATTGCTGGAAATTGTAGGATGTGTCTTGTTGAGGTTGAGAAATCTCCTAAGCCTGTAGCTTCGTGTGCCATGCCTGCACTTCCAGGTTAGTTTCAATGAAGTTTAGATTCTAGGAGATTTTTTATGCTGTTTGATTGATTTGTTCGTTGATTGGTAAAAGAAATTTGGATTTGGTGCTATTGTTATACCATTTGCATCAAAATTCATTCTTAGGTAATGTGTCCATTGGTAGGATAGCTGTATATAATTTTTAGCTGGAAGCTGGTGCGGTAAGCTTTTACGGAATAGTGCAAAACTGTAAGAAATAGTGGTATCTAAAACCTGTACATAAAAAGCTGAGATTAACGCTTATGGTTACGCTTTTAATAATGCATGTGGTATAGGGTTACCAATCAAAGCCAATGTTTGGTGTTATGTGATGTAGTATAATGGTAGACTACTAAGAGTCTTTTTTTTAACAGGGATGAAGATTAAGACTGATACGCCGATAGCGAAGAAGGCAAGGGAGGGAGTGATGGAGTTTTTGTTGATGAATCATCCTTTGGATTGCCCTATATGTGACCAAGGAGGAGAGTGTGATCTTCAGGATCAGTCTATGGCTTTTGGATCTGACAGAGGTCGTTTTACTGAGATGAAAAGATCTGTTGTTGATAAGAACCTTGGTCCTCTTGTGAAGACTGTTATGACTCGGTGTATCCAGTGTACAAGGTTATTATAATAGTTTGGTTAAAGTGTGATGTTTTTGTTGATGTGATAGATATGCTATCCTATTGATTAGGTTATGTGTGTATAATGTCTTTGTAGGTGTGTACGATTTGCTTCAGAAGTTGCTGGAGTTCAGGATCTTGGTATACTAGGTCGTGGTAGTGGAGAAGAAATTGGAACTTATGTTGAAAAGCTTATGACCAGTGAACTCTCTGGAAACGTTATAGACATCTGTCCTGTTGGAGCCTTGACTTCAAAGCCCTTTGCGTTTAAAGCCAGAAACTGGGAGTTGAAAGCAACAGAAACTATTGATGTTAGTGATGCTGTTGGGTCCAACATCCGTGTTGATAGTCGAGGACCAGAAGTGATGCGTATCATTCCACGCCTTAATGAGGCATGTTATGCTTTTGTTCAAAAACACTATTTCTTATAAGTATTTTGCTGGATGTTGAACTTGTGAATGTTCTTATACAGGATATAAACGAAGAATGGATATCTGACAAAACCCGATTTTGTTATGACGGTTTGAAAAGACAAAGGCTGAGCGACCCTATGATCCGAGATTCCGATGGACGATTCAAGGCAGTGAGCTGGCGTGATGCCTTGGCTGTCGTGGGTGATATCATTCATCAGGTGAAGCCAGATGAGATTGTTGGAGTAGCAGGTCAGCTATCTGATGCGGAATCCATGATGGTACTGAAGGACTTCGTTAACAGAATGGGTTCAGACAATGTCTGGTGTGAAGGAACAGCTGCTGGTGTTGATGCTGATCTTAGGTACAGTTATCTGATGAACACTAGCATCAGTGGACTTGAGAACGCCGATCTCTTCCTTCTAATTGGTACCCAGGTGAGATTTCCGCCCTGTCTTTTTGTATGGTTATTGGTACCGGATTAGACAGACCGCTCTATGCTTTGGAACAATGACATAAGAAAAACCAAATTGTGTAGTCTGATTTAGTGCTGTGGCCAAAGGTTCTGTGCATATTAAAATTTGGAATACATAGGCAAATAGAAAGGAGAAACAAGCAAAATTAGGTTTCTAAAATCCAGATCAGATGTTAACATTTCGCTTGATATTTAATATTCCTGATCCAGACCAATCTAGATAGGTTCAAGCGCTGGTTTCTTATAAGCAAAATTTGCTCTTTCAGATATCAAAGCTGTGATGGTTTTTTTAGCAGTACATTCACCAGTTTCTGTCTATTTTTACCAGCCTAGGGTTGAAGCTGCAATGGTGAATGCTAGGATCTGCAAGACAGTCCGAGCATCGAATGCCAAGGTTGGATATGTTGGTCCACCTGCAGAGTTCAACTACGACTGCAAACACCTTGGGACTGGGCCTGATACCCTCAAGGAAATTGCTGAGGGACGGCACCCATTCTGTACGGCTCTCAAGAACGCTAAAAACCCTGCAATCATTGTTGGTGCTGGGCTCTTCAACAGAACTGATAAAAATGCTGTCCTCTCTTCTGTGGAATCCATCGCACAAGCCAACAATGTCGTCCGACCAGACTGGAACGGTCTCAACTTTCTCCTTCAGTATGCTGCTCAAGCGGCTGCTCTTGATCTTGGTCTCATTCAACAGTCCGCTAAAGCTCTCGAGTCTGCAAAATTCGTCTACTTGATGGGAGCAGATGATGTAGATGTTGACAAGATTCCTAAAGATGCCTTCGTGGTTTACCAAGGACACCATGGAGACAAAGCGGTTTACCGTGCAAACGTAATTCTCCCTGCATCGGCCTTCACCGAGAAAGAAGGAACCTATGAAAATACTGAAGGATTTACCCAACAGACTGTTCCAGCTGTTCCAACTGTTGGTGATGCAAGAGATGACTGGAAGATTGTGAGAGCCTTATCCGAGGTCTCGGGTGTGAAGCTTCCATACAACTCAATCGAAGGTGTTAGATCAAGAATCAAGAGCGTTGCACCAAATCTAGTCCACACAGATGAGCGAGAGCCAGCTGCTTTTGGGCCTTCATTGAAACCTGAATGCAAGGAGACAATGAGCACAACACCGTTCCAAGCCGTGGTTGAGAATTTTTACATGACAAACTCGATCACAAGAGCATCAAAGATCATGGCGCAGTGCAGTGCCGTGCTCTTGAAGAAGTGAGGGCTTTTTAACTCCCTATGTTTTCACATTTTTTCTCTCTTTCGCAAAAATAAAGATACTGATTCTTCGTTTGCTCTCCTATTTACCGACCTTTTGTGTAAGCCGAGTATCACTGTATCTTGGGTTTAGCTTGCGGTGAATCTATAAGCAATTTGCAATAAGCACATTGTTAGATTCAAAACTTTGCAGTGTTAATTGGATGCTTTGTGGCATCTTGTATTGTTCTTAGTATTACTCTTTATTGCATTTGCATATATGAATTTGGGGCATGGCGATATATACAATCTCTACTTTATCGTTTGTTCTTAACCATTGTGATTGTTACAGATAATGCAAATCAAAGTATTAGATGGTTTCCAATGTGAGATGATCACTTGTGAACTAAACTGTTTTTGACAAGTTATGTTACCTAAAATAATTTCAGTTTCAACTTTGTGATTGGTCATAAAGAAAATTTAAGATAGATTATGAAAGACAATCACAAGTAACATATAAATTTATTTTAGAAAAATTTACCTAAACCAATCAATTTTTTTGTATAGCTAGGATAATTAATCCATCCAACTTTTTTTCTCTTTCTCAAACAACCAACTTTTTATTATCAAATTGCTCTCTTACTGATTAGGTCTTACATCTAAAAATATAATATAAGTAAAAAAAATTTATCCAATTTAATTAATTTTAAATAACCTGTATTTTTTTTTGAACTTCAACACATTGTTTATTGGTTAAAATCCATGCTATATGGATGAGATTTTTTTTGATACATGTCAAAATCTTATTGACCAATAACACATGTAAATTATTTTTTGTTAGTTTTTTTTGGGTAAGAATAATTAATATATGTAAATATTCTTTTTTTTTTCCTTTTCAATATGTAAATATTCTTTTGATTAGTTTTTATTTTCTGTAAAAGAAAACAAAAAATAAAACATTTGTTGATATCTAATCGAGAAAGTTACCCGTGTCGCAATCATTTGAGTTACTAACTTTGAAAACCAAAGTCTATATAATAAAATAATTATACCTAGTTAAGTTTATAAGTTAGTAATCTAGATTTACACAATTTTATACAGATACACAATACATGTAATAACGATAATCTTGTACCATAAAAGTGAGTTAATTATATAGTTCAAATTTTATGAAAAAGAAATCATGTGTATCTAGAAAACATTAATGTTATTTATATTTCTCTTTGTCTAATTATTTTGATATTGTTATATAAATCACTCTTTACTCTTTGATTGTCACTCTAACCCTATTTCTTAGAATATATGAAATTAAGTTTTCCAGGAATGTTGTTCTTCTTGTTAGGCTATATCCTATGTTTCAGCGATATATCGAGTTTCAATAATCATTTTGTGGATGCAGAAACATTGCAAAATTTCACCTCATTTGAAATGGAAGAACAACTTAAAGTCATCGACGAACATGCAGCTAAAATCATCAAAGTCCGTTTAATTTAATCTTATTTTCTTAGAGCTGTACTCGTTACCTTGATTTATACATTTATATATGAATTTTGTAGAGATATGTGAAGTTTACAAAATATTTTATAATCTACTTTGTTTATGGATGATAGACTACACATGGAGATACATATGAATGTGTGGATTATTACAAACAACCAGCGTTTGACGATCAGACCATGAAAAATCACTTGCTCCACTACAAAGTATATAATAAATTGAATATATGTGAATCTGATCATTATTTATCACTAATACAAAATTCTTTTGTAAATGTAGATGCATCAGATATCATCCCGTAAAAATTCAAGAACAAGAAAAATAAATGACAAAAAATTTGGTTTCTTGTGGGAAAATGGTGTAGGGTGTCCCATTGGTACCATACCCATACAAAGAGTCACCAAAGACAAACTTTTGAGATTAAATTCGTATTCCAACAAATCTAAGCCTCAAGGTTCTTGGAACTTCACTTATAATCAATATAATGTCGATAATGAGCAACATCATGTAAGTAGTACCCTTCCTTATGTTTTATAAGATGTTTTAACTATTTTTTTCTTATGGTATAAATTGTTTTAGTTTTGTAAGAAATATAAGTGTGTTTTAATTAATTACCTTTAAAATTCTAAATTATTGTTGTTAGAAACAAATTAATTTCAAAAATGTAAATAAAATTTTATATAACTTTTTAAATCTCCGTGCAGTCATCTTTATAAAAAGATACAAAATATATTATTTTGTTATTTTGCTCAATATATAGAATTCTATTAAATTCAAAATAAGAGTTGATTATGCATGGTTATGATGACTAGTTTGCAGTTGCTCGAACCAAGAGAGGAGAAAAGAAAAGCTATAGTGGAGTATCAATGGCTATTTCTGTACATGATCCTGAAGTTAGATCTCCGCAATTTAGTTCTTCTCGTATGCACGTTCAGATTGGAGACGATTTTATTCAAGTTGGATGGATTGTAAGTTTGTTTCAACATTTTATGTTTAATTAGAGTTGCGGCCTAAAAGTATAAAAATATAAATCATAATAAATTGGTATTATTATAATTACTTACAAATATACTACACTTAGTTTTAATATTATTAACATAAATCTATTAAAATTTCAGGTAAATCCGGCTTTATATACTGACATGCAACCACGAAGTTTTGTTTATACGAAAGTAAGTTAATTACTTATATATCTTCGAAGGAAATTTTTATTACCAAGAAACTTTTTTAATTATATAACATGCTATTGTAAAATAATTATAAAATTTAATCATTTGCCTAAATTACTTCAAAGTTTAAAAGGTAAATTAAACACACATTATATATCTTTACAAAAGAAAACAAAATTCCTCACATTATATTTTATTTTTATAATTTCATTCTAAATATTGATTTTTTTTTATATTTCAAACAATTGAAACAAAAAAAAATGATGTTCAACGCAACCAAAAACTATGTTTTCTAAATGAATATTTTGTAGTGTAATTTATCATATAAAAAAACAGTACTATAATTCACTCCATCATATTTTGTAAAATTATTCGATGTACTAGATTAATATACGCTAGACATAACGATACATGTAAAATTTGTATAGGCAGGTAAAAATCAGTGTTATAACAGCTTGTGTCCGGCTGGAATCATTTTGGTCCGTTCAGATATTCCTTTTGGTGGGATTCGAGGTCCTCCTGGTGTCCGTGGTTCTACACAAATAGTATATGATACATATGGATTACTCAAGGTTTGCTAGTTATTTCATTTCCTCTTTTTCTATAACTTACTAAATTCTTATTATGTTTCTTATTATTCAAACAAATTTGATAGAACGTATGTCAAAAAAAAGAGAAACAAATAGATATATGTATTAAATCAATATCACACGCATAAAACACAAAACTCAACAGTTTTTTTTATTTGGAAGTTATGTGTGGTTTTAACAGTATTTATCAATATATATAACATGTTCTATTTGTAATTATATATTAATTGTAATATGTTTTTGCTTTGATGTGGATGTTGATCAAAGGACAAAGCAAATGGTAATTGGTGGCTCGAGTTTGGAGGAATACAAATTGGGTTTTGGCCAGCAAAAATATTTCAACAGAGTTTGGCTAATAGTGTCGAGTGGGGAGGAGAAGTATATAGCGCATCTCTGCCGGGTCCTCGTATGGGAAATGGTTATTTTCCATTGTTAGATCCAGAGGACGATGCACATGTGTGTAATATAACTTTAGTTGATGAGAATTTTAAGATTGATAAGATGGTAAAAAATGTAGAGACATTCTCGGATAACAATCATAGTTATAAAGTATACGAAGATTTAGATTCAGGATTACCGGTTGGACATATCATATATTTTGGAGGTCCTGGAAAGATGTAAAACAAAGAATATAATTTTGTGTAAAAATTGAAAATAAAATAAAATTATGTTCATATAATTGAGCATCTAAATAAATTGTTCACCTTCTTGTTTTTCATACAGTATCCTCAAGTTCTTAAACTAGGAAAAATGCTGGTACGAAAAATTATTCTTAGTATGTAGGTTTTGTCACCATTAACAATCATGTTTCGAAAAGGCAAAAGAAAATGTCCTTAGTCCTTTTTTTAGCATCTACAATAGTTTTGGTAATAATCAAAGGCTTAATAAACAGGTTAACAAGGTATATAGTGTTGTTCTTTTTTTTTAGTTCTTTTTTATAAATGTAAATGATACAATTAATTTATTAAATGTAGGAATGTAATTTCTTAATTTAGTTGGTCATTCGATTTTGAATTTAAAATGTATAGATTAGTTTATTAATTGTATAATTAGTTTTAAAAAGAATATAATTGTTAGTTATTTTACACACAACTAGATTCGGACCCGCACGTTCGTGCGGATAATATTTGTAGATGTATTTATTTGGTATAACATTCATTATCCTACCTCATATCAGTTTCGTATTCGGTTTAGTTTCAATTTGGTTTAGACAAAATAATTAATCGGATTTGTTTTTGGTTACAGTAAAGACAATTACATAATTAGAAAGAGAGAGAGAAAATAGACATATCAATTTTGAGACAGAAAATCCGTATGGTCACATATCTACCACACACATTTAATCACATAATCGTTAATTTACTCGTTTGTGATTGTATATCGTGTAGGTCTAGGATTCGGATGGAATACCCGTATTTTATGTATTTTCGTTTAGGTATTTAATTTTTACATAATTAGTTGAAGTTATCCATATTTTCTTTATATTCTCAATATTTCACTATTATGTTTTAGAAAATACCCAAATTTCCTAAAATTTCCATCACGAAATAAACTTTATCCGTTCCAAAATCTTTTATTTGGCACATACTATGCTAGATAAATTGAAAGAAACATTTTAAATATATGATTGCAAGCAATGTTTTATTTTAATTGTAATATGTTATACGACATTTTTTTTAAGAATTCTCGTCCCATCCCGTTCAAAAAGTCAGTTTCAATATTTAGGGTTAACATATAATCTTAACAATATGTTTGCGAATCAAAGTATTAAATATAGATTCGAGTTATATGATTGATTTTTAAAAAAATCTATAATTAGAGTTATATTTGGCAAGTATAATAACTGTTGTGATATGATTTCGTAAACTAATTTAAGATTTGATTTAATCGTAAAAAATTGTATTTTCTATTTTTATTATTTCGAATTTGTTATTGTCAATTATTA